GGGCGCCCTGAGGGGTCCTGCAGATCTGAGCCCCAAAAAGGAGAGGCACAGGAAAGAAGGGGGGGTGTCAGTCCAGAGAGCTTATGCCGTGGGTCAGGCGCTCGCCTTACACACTGTTGATCCCCAGCACCCTCTCGGGCCCCCCAGATCTCGCCAGCAGTGATCCCTAGAGCACAGAGCCAGAAATTACTGGATGTGGCCTGAGCACTGCTGGAGGTGGCCCCCAAATCAAAAGGGCAGCGGCGGGGGAGGGGCGCATGACTGGCTGGAACAAGCGCATGCAGGGCTTGGGTGCATGCAGAGGGTCGTGTGTGGGGCGTGGCTGCCATGTGGTTCTCGGGCAGGGTGTATGGGTGGGCAGGGGTGGAGCAGAAAGGGCTGGGGGGAGGGGGACAAGTGGGTGGACCTTGGGAGCCTCCCAGGGGCTCAGTAGGCTTCGGGCAGGCAGTGGAGTAGTTTCTGGGGTGCTGTGAGGTCCGTGTTCCCCGTCATCCCTCCTGCCCAGGAGCTCAACGTGCTGTTACTCACGCCCACGGCGTGGCCTGTGCTGCCAAGACAGACAGAGCCCTCCCCCTAGCTCCCGCCCAGCTGGCCCCTGGCCCACGTGAGCAGAAGCGAGTGACCCCTGCCTGGCTGATGCCCACGAGACGGAGGCTCTGGAGGGCAGGCAGGGCTGGACGCTGCAGAAGGGACCCCCGGGCCTCGGAGCAAACGCCTTGCATGGCTTCCTGGCGGAAGACCCACCGCGGGCCAACTCGGGGCCTGTCTAGTCCCTGGCTCATCCCATGGAGATGGGAGCTGCCCTGTGCTCAGGTCCTGGTCATTTGCTCAGGGCTGCCAGCCAGCTGCCCAGCACGGCCTCCCAGGATCCATAGTCCTGCCCACTTGCCATCCACCTTCCTCTCCCACATCTGCCTCTCCGGTCTCTCACCCTCACTGTCTGTCTGAGTCCCCGGCCGCCTGGGACCACTGCCCACTGGGTTCTAGTCACATTGACTTCCCCTGGCCAGGCTCAGCTCTGCCCCCAATGGGGTCACATGACCTCAGCCAGCCTGGGATCCCCTTCAACCCTCCTCGCCTGCATTGCTTCTGCCTCCCTCCCAAATGGGATCTAGGATCCCGCCCCCCCACCACCACTATTACACCTTTTGCCCCATTGAGCACTGGGTTCTTTCGATCTAGGGCAGAAAAGGCTGCAGAGGTTTCTGGTTCCTTGGGGACTACCTAGACCAGACAGATCACTTTCTAAATGCCTACCCATGTCTTACTGAGGTCTTCAGAAAGCTCCGGAACCTTCCAGAAAGGGAGACTGCCAGGAGAGGACAGTGTGTATAGAGAGCGGGAGAGATGGGGCAGAGGGTGGGAATAAAGACTTGCACCCTGCCCTGGAGGCATGCGCCAGGGCTCGGGGTGTTTTCTGAGTGGGTGCTGGGCGGCAGCATGGCTGAGTGCTCCTCAGCGGCATTCTCTCTCTTACCAAGTGCCAGGCCTGAGTCTCACCATCTGATGTACCCCCTCACAGGGGCACAGGAAGATCAAAAAGGCTAGGTAGCGGGGGCTGGAGTGATAGCACAGTGGGTAGGGCGTTTGCCTCGCACGCGGCCAACCCGGGTTCGATTCCCAGCATCCCATATGGTCCCCTGAGCACCGCCAGGAGTGATTCCTGAGTGAAGTGCCAGGAATAACCCTTGTGCATCGCCAGGTATGACCCAAAAAGCCAAAAAAAAAAAAAAAAGGCTCGGTATCTGGGCCGGGAGCAACAGGACAGCGGGTAGGGTGCTTGCCTTGCACGCAGTCAACCCAGGTCTGATCCCTGGCCCCCTGAGCCTGCCGGGTGTGATCCCTGAGCACCACTGGAAGTGATCTCTGAGTCCACCGGGAGAGATCCCTGAGCACTGCTGAGGAATGATCCCGGAGCCCGCTGGGTGTACCATGGGGATCTTATTCACAGTGCTGGCTGTGGGTCTCAGGACCTCCTGCTGGGCTGGGGTACAGTCATCTGGGCCTTCCACTAGTCAACAAACACTTTTTTTGTTGTTAATTTAGTGAAAGCCACAGAAATCTAATCTCAGAGTTTCAGAAATCAGAAGTAAATTTCACTGGCCCTTATGCATTCCTCTGATGGAACCACTCTGGGCCCTCGGGAGTGGAAGGGTGGGGCTGCATCCCTGGAACCTTTGTTCCCCCCGGCTGCCAGCTGGAAACTGCGTCACCCCCCATCCTAGGCCAGCACCGAGCCTCCCTGGATTTGTTTTGTTTTTGTTTTTCACTTGAACCAATGTGAATTACAAAGTTACGGAACTATTTATGATTGAGTTTCGGGCCTATATTGTTCCAGAACTCCTCCTTCACCAGTGTCCACTACCCTCCACCCGTGGCCCCGGTTGCCCTCCCATCCCCTCAAGCCTAACTCTATGGTGGGCACTTTCCCCTCCCTGGTTGTCCTAGAGTGCCCTTCCTTAATTTATCCCCCTCACCCCTGTCCCAGTGCCAAGTTTCCTACTGAAGACCAGTTCTCCTGCTCTTCGTTTTTATTGATATTCCCCTACAAAGCGTCTTTCTTTCATCCTTTCATGAGAGGGATCATTCTGCGTCTGTCCCTCCCCCTCTGACTGATTTCACTCAACACGATAATCTCCAGATCCGTCCACATTTCAGCAAAGTGCATGACTTTATCTTTCCTTAAGGCTGAGTATGTGTGCATGTGCTGTGGTTTTAATCCAGTCAGCTGTTTGAGGACTTTAGGGGCCCAAGAACACAAATTCCTGCCCTATCTTAGCTTGGCCCTCTCCTCACTGCCTGCACCCCCTCTGCCTCCCTCCTGACCTCACCTACAGATAGCCCAGGGTGCTCTGGCCAGTTCAGAATGAATTCCTTACGATATCCGCAAAGATGCTCTTTTTTTCTTTAAAAAATTCTTGTTGTTTTGAAACCATACCCACAGTGCTCAAGGCTTACTCCTGGCTCTGCAGTAAGGGAATCACTCCTGGTGGGCTGAGGGGTTACCATGTGGGGTGCTGGGGGTCGAACCCAGGTCCTGCCCGCTGTGCTTTCTTTCCAGCCCTGAAGATCCCCGTCTCATAGAGGTGCCATTTCTAGTTTGAGGTGTTGGCGTGCTGTCTTGTCAGCACCGTTTCTCCAGGTCGTGTTTCTGGTTCAGTTTTGTTTGTTTGTTTGTTTTTCTGGGAAGCTAGGCAACTGCCGAGCGTCCTCTCCTGGACAGTAGCCAACGAAGCTGTGGCCACGAGCACTGAACAGTGTTTACAGAGCAGGGATTGCGTGCCCCAAGCTCTGCACGCCTGGTGCCTGCCTGCCTGCTGTGGCCGTGGCTGCGGCTGTCTCTGTGGACACTGTTGCCTTGTGGCTACTTCCTCTGTCCGGGAGGACACATTGTTTTCCTTGAATTGGAACACGGCCTGCCTTGGTCATTACCTGTTGGCTGCAGGGTATATGGATGGACTTGGTGAATGTTGAGTTTTTCCGTGATACAGAGCGATCCTGGGAAGCCTGTGACCCACTTTCCCTCCGTGGTAGCGTCTTGCATAACTGCAGTTTCAGAGCAGAACCAGAGTCTTGACCTGGATTCTGTCCACTGGGCATACAAGGGCTTCCCTGCTGTCTCCATGCTCGTTCACATGTCTGAGCTCCGTTCCTCCACCATTAAGGCAAGGTCCCTGCTTGTCGTCCCTCTGAACCAGGCCCACTCCCTGTCCCCCTGGGCCTCCCCCTCAGCTCTCTCTTGCTCCCCAGCCCTCCCCTTAGTCATTTCAAGAAAGTTCTAGATGGGGCAGGAGAAATCAGCAGTTGGGTGCTTTCCTTGCATGCAGCCAGCCCAGGTACAGTGCCCGGCACCCCATACGGTCCCCTGAGCACTGTCAGGTGTATTCCCAAGACGCAATCAAACAAAAATGGCACGTGTGACTTCTGGTTACCTTTTCCCACTCAGCACGATGCATTTGAGCGTCGTCCGAGTTGTTCTATCAGTGGCCCGTTTGCTGTTGCCGAATAATAGTTCAGAGTTTGATTAACCACTGGAGGGCATCTAGGTTGTTTCTCATTTTCGAAGTGTGGGGTTTTTTTTTTTTGTTTTTGTTTTTGTTTTTTGTGAGTGCATATGTGTACTAGTTACTATTTTTAAGGGTCAAATGCCCAGGAGATCCGTTGGCTGGGTTATGTGGTAATTACACGCTTGCCTTCTAAAGACCCTGCCGAGCTTTTAGTTTAGGCTGTCATTATTTATTCCTGCCAGTCATGAACAAGCTGATTGAGTTTCTCCACATCCTTGGCAACGTTTCTTGTATTTGTATGTTCCTGTTCCGGTAGCTTCCTGGAGGGAGGATCTGTCTGGGAGACAGCTGGGCTTGGCCTGTCACCGTCGTCACCATGCTCAGGGGGCCCCTGAAGGGGGAGAGCACCCAGTGCCCAGCGGGGGCCTTTGGAGTTAGCACGCTGAGAAGGAAACCGTGTCATGGCCAGCACCTGATGTCTGGCTCAGAGACCCGCTGTTCGCCAAGCAAGCCGCGCGGCCCTTTGGTGTTCTGCATCCTCGCCGCGGGCCTGACCCCGGCCAGGCTGAGACGGGCACCCGTAGTCTTGTGGGAGCAGGTGTGGAGAGGCTGACGGAGGAGGCGCTGGGCTGCAGGCTGGGGTGCCCGTGTCGCTGGGCAGCTGAGAGGGAGAGAGAAGGGAGTTGGAGGTCTCTCGCCGAGCTTCTTCAGAAAGCAAACAGACCCCTTCTTAGTTGTCCTGACACCTGCTCCCTGGCCCCTGCCTGGCCTGGCACGGGTCAGGAGAGGTGGAAGGGGTCAGTGTGAACCCCCGGCACCCCGCACCCCTGTAGGTGGGGCCTCTGTCTGTCTTGGTCATCCCAGTGTCTGACCTCATTTCCATTCCAGAACTCCTCGCTGAGGGCTGGGGGCACCTAGGGCCGGGCTGGGTGGGGCCTCCGGCTGGGGGCAGGGGTCTCACCGCCTCCCCGCCCTCTCCTCCCGCCCCTGCAGGCTCGTCATGCCTAGTGGCGTATAAGAAGACCCCGCCACCGGTCCCGCCGCGCACCACGTCCAAGCCATTCATCTCCGTCACCGTGCAGAGCAGTACCGAGTCCGCCCAGGACACCTACCTAGACAGCCAGGACCACAAGAGCGAGGTGACGAGCCAGTCAGGCCTGAGCAACTCGTCGGACAGCCTGGACAGCAGTACCCGGCCCCCCAGCGTGACCCGGGGCGTGATCACCCCGGCCCCCGAGGCCCCCGAGCCACCCCCGAAACATGCAGCTCTGAAGAGTGAACAGGGGACGCTGACCAGCTCCGAGGCCCACCCCGAGGCCATCCCCAAAAGGAAACTGTCATCGATAGGAATACAAGTAGGGACCTTTTTTTGCACTCTGCCCTCACCCCCGCCCCCCGCCCCTGCCTGTGTGTCCTGACATCTGGAGGAGGCCCCCCTTCATCTCCCCAGCGGCCACAGGGCTGTCCATCCTGTCTGAGTGACCCAGCCAAATTCTACCCCTGGCCACGCCTTGTGCCCTGCAGGGGTCCGTGGCCCTGGGCGCCCCCCTCCCGCTGCTCTGATGGACGGTCCCGGTGAATGTGGTCACACTCAGCCGGCCATCTCCTGTCCACTGTTTGCCTGTGCGGTGTCTGTCTGTCCACTTCGCCCATCCACCCTGCCCGCTGCCGCGGGGCAGGCAGGACTGGCCTAACAGTTCTCTGATCCGAGGTCACGTGGGCGCGGAGACCACAGCCCACTCGGCGGCCACAGGAGCCGCGTGGCGCGTACATGCCGCCGGGCCGGCATGCCTTGAGCTGCTTGGGTGGCTCCAGGGGGACTTTGCCCAGAGCCCTCGCGGGCCTTGGGGACAGGTAGGTGGCTCGAGGTGCCAGGTCAGAGAGAGAAGAGTGAGGAAGAATCGGCTCAGACGGTTCCCCAGGCCCCGGTGGCTAAGGCCAGCGCCAGCTCCCGGGAGCCACACGCCGAGTCTGCCCACCATCCCCCGTCCCCTGGGCAGGGGCCACCAGCTTCCTCACCACGGCTCATCACTGTCCTGCTTGCACCAAGCGGTGACCCATCCCCCCAGGACTCCCCTGCCTGGCTGCCCCTGAAGAAGGCCAGGGCAGGCAGGAATTGGGGGGGAGGTGCTGCGTTTCCCAGGGTGGGGGGGCAGGGAAGGCCAGGTGGGGGTCTCAGGTTGCCAGGGAGCTCCATTTGCAGCCACCCACCAGCAACTGGAAGTGGCCACAAAGCACTGGAATCCACGGGCGGCAGGGAGGGCGGGGTGGAAGTGGAGTCCCACGTGCGCACCCCCCCGCCCCGAGTTTCCTCCTCCCCATCCCCCCACCCCCGGCCCCTGTACTGCCCAAGCTTCCTTTCTCCCCACAGAGGGGCCGGCCTGGAATATGCCCGCTCTGGGCTCCGGCCAGCCCCCATGGCTGCTCCAGGAAGGCTTCTTAAGAGCAGAGGAAGGGGCCCCGGCCCAGCCCGTGTCCCCAGCTTCCCTGGGTCTCTGATCGAGTAACCCCGTGGACACCCCCATTTTCCCCTTCACCCGACCTTGCTTCACCCGACCGAGCTTGGTTCCTTTCACCCCGAAGGTCACGTGGGGATAAGTGCTCTCGGGCCCACCCTCCCACCCCTGGCCAGGAGGCGTGCTAGGGCAGCAGCTTCCCAGAGACCCCCACCCCTCTGTTTCTGAGGGTGCCCTGCAGCCTCCTATCCCCCCCTTGGTGCCGTGAGCCCGAGGTCAAGTGGGTGGATTCCTTCCTTTATTCATGGGCCGTGATGGACCCATGTGGCCTCACCAGCCTCACCCCTCCCGTTCCCTGGACCTGCTGCCCATGTCGGCCACAGTACCGGCTCTGGACTCAGCTCTGTCCTGACCCCCTCAACCCCCAGTGCCAGCAGGAACCTCAGCACCCCATGAACAAGGCCCAGGATGGTAACCCCGATGTCCAGCAACCTCCAAGCTTTGGGGTTGTTTGTCCTCTTTGCCCCCAGAAAGTGCCCCCCCACCCCCAGGCTCCAGCAGCACCAGATAACGGCTGTGGCTTTGTGTGTGTGTGTGTGTGTTTTCTTTCTCTTCCGTCGTCCTCTTTTTTTTTTTCTTCTCCTTCTCTCGGATGCGTGTAAAGGAGAGGACTAGAAGGAACGGTTCCCACCTCTCGGAGGACAACGGACCCCAAGCGATCGATGTGATGGCCCCCTCCTCAGAGTAGGGAAAGCCAGTCATCTCCGCCCCCCCAATCCCCCCACCTGCCCGCCCGCCCGCCTCCGCGCGAATGAGCAGTGCCCGGCTTGGCCCGGCCCGGCCTCGGGCCCACGTGCCGTGTCCGCATGCCTCGTGTCTGTGCGTCCACACGTCCGTTCTGCATCGTCCCACCGGTGTGGATGCCAGCAGCAAGTGTGGTGTTTGTTTTTTTGTCTTTGTCCCCGTCTCCGTGCCGTGGCTGTCGTTGTCCTTCAATAAGGTTGACTGCATTCAGCCAGTGTCCAAAGAGGAGCCCAGTCCCGCTACCAAATTCCAGTCCATCGGGGTTCAGGTAGAGGACGACTGGCGGTAAGTGGCACGGAGGCGGCGGCCGCTTCCCCCCGCCTCCCCCTCCCTGCTCTCTCCTCCCCTGCCGCCTCCTCCTCCTCCTGCTCTCCCCCACCCACCCCTCCCTGCTGGATTTCTAACGGCCAGGCCGGGCTGGGGGTGCAGGGCGGGGGGTGGGGTTGGGGGCGCCCCTGGCACCCGGCGGGCGGGCAGACGCACCCTGGCTCCCGTGAGCTTAATCGGGCCGCGGAGGGGCAGGGGGGCCCCGGGCCGGGCTCCCCCACACCTGTGTCGGGGGTCTTCCCGGCCCCACTGCAGTAAACAGACAACCTTATGACCTTGTCCGTGTGTGCGTGTGCGTGTGGGGGTGTGGGTGGGCGAGGGCTGAGCTGAGAATGAGACGGGCGCTGTGGGGCCTGCTTTAGGCGCATGGTGAGCAGATGTGTCTCTCTGTCTGCCGTGTGTCCAGGCCGGGCGGCCTCCGGTCCCTGGCCCGTCCGTGGTGACCCTCTCTCCTTCCTGTCCCTGCCTCCCCCCTTCCGCCCCGCCCCCCGCAGAAGCACCGTCCCCTCGCTCAGCATGTCCTCCCGCCGGGACACCGACTCGGACACCCAAGATGCCAATGACTCGAGCTGCAAGTCGTCCGAGAGGAGCCTCCCCGACTGCACCCCACACCCCAACTCCATCAGCATCGACGCCGGTCCGCGGCAGGCCCCCAAGATTGCCCAGATCAAACGCAACCTCTCCTATGGAGACAACAGCGACCCCGCCCTGGAGGCGTCCTCGCTGCCCCCGCCGGACCCCTGGCTCGAGTCCTCCTCCAGCTCCCCGGCAGAGCCCGCGCAGCCCGGGGCCTGCCGCCGCGACGGCTACTGGTTCCTGAAGCTGCTGCAGGCCGAGACGGAGAGGCTGGAAGGCTGGTGCTGCCAGATGGACAAGGAGACCAAAGAGAACAATCTCTCGGAAGAAGGTGAGGCCTGGGGCCGCCTTCTGCCTCGGCGCTCTGGTTTTCCTTCCTCCCATCACCCCCCAACCTCCCCACCCCCCGGCACCTTCCGTTTTCCAACTCAAGCCTTGTTCCAAGAATGACTCCAGACTGGGAGGGCTCAGGCCTCAGTTTCTTTGTCCGGAGTGCAGCTCTCATGAGGCCTGGCCATGGCCCAGAGCCGGTGCCTAATGGAACCTTCAGGGGCACCTTGGTGGGTCCAGCGGGTGGGAAACTGCCCCCCACACTCCAGCCTGCCCTGTGAGACGGAGTAACCTGTGGTTCCAAAGCTTTGTTTCTCTCAGCTCTGTTTTCCAGGAAAGCACTGTAGCACTGTCTGTCCTCCCATTGTTCATCGATTTGCTCGAGCGGGCTTAGTAACGTCTCCATTTTGAGACTTGTTGTTACTGTGTTTGGCATATCGAATACGTCACGGGGAGCTTGCCAGGCTTCGCCGTTTGGGCAAGATACTCTCAGTAGCTTGCCGGGCTCTCCCACAGGGGCAGAGGAATTGAACTCGGGTCGGCAGGGTCAGCTGCGTGCAAGGCAAAAGCCCTACCCTTTGTGCTCCAGCCCAGGAAAGCAGTAGGGAAAAAATAAGAGTTTACCTAAATTCACAGGTGGTTGGTTGGTCGATAAAGGGGAGAGGTGAGGGGCAGAGAGGTACACAACAGGTAGAGTACTTGTCTGGCATGCAAACATCCTATTTGATCCCTGGCACCACCCATAGCCCCCTGAGCCCCAGCAGGAGAGAGAGTCAGCCCCGAGCATGGCTGGGTGTGGCCCAACCCCCTCAGCCCCTCCCTGACAATAAAACAGATGTGAGGGGTGGTTTGGTGACCGCTTGGAAGCTCAGACCTTGCCCCCAGAGCAACACCTTGTATCAGCTGGGTTCGGTCAAAGCTCTGGTTCCCAGGTCACGCCCCTCCGTGGCAGGTCAGGGCTCCAGAGTGTCCAGGGGGCCAGAGCCAGCAGCGTCCCCCTGACGGGTGGGTGTGGCCAGGGCCTGCACCTTTGATGGTTCAGAGAGCACATCAGTGAGCGTCTCCATCCTCCGGGCCGTTCCCAGCTTTGATGTCACACCCGCCGCCCCGTAGCCAACTCTTCAAACAGCAGTGCCTGCAGGAGTAGGTCGGGGCTGGATCAGTGTGGGAGCCCTGGGGTTCTGTCCCGGCACCACCTGCGTGGCCCAGCCCAGAGATGCCAGAGACCCCCAGGAGAACTGGTCGGGGCTGGCCAAGCCTTTGCTGCAGCCCTCGCCGCTCAGTTGTCTGTTTTGTTTTCCCTCTTGCTACTTTTTGTTGTGTAACAGGATGGCCCTCTCTAGAATTAAGGATCATTATATATTGATTTCCTGCTGCAATGGATGAGCGCTTAGGGCCTCCTCCCCCGCCCAGGCCCTCCTCCCTCCAACAGTACATCACAACTTGGAGCTAAACAGCCAGGAGCCGGAGAGACAGCACAGGTGGTCAGGGGGAAAGGGGCCTGCCTTGTGTGTGGCCATCCCTTCTTCAGTCCCTGCCATCACATGGCCCCCTAGGCACAGAGCCAGGAGTGGCCATCAGGTACTGCCAGGTATGCCCCTCCCCTCCCCCCAAAAAAAAGTGCAATAACAAAGGAAACCCATTACTATAAATGTAATAGCATAGTGATATTTGTTAGGGCGATGAATAACATGATCTAGCAAATTATTGGAATTTGGAAGATACGAAGGCAGTGGAGGCGGAGCCATAGCACAGCGGGTCAGGCGTTTGCCTTGCATGCGGCTGACCTGAGTTCAATCCCTGGCATTCCATGTGGTCCCCCGAGCTCCCCCAGGAATGATTTCTGAGTGCAGAGCCAAGAGTAAATCCTGAACATTGCCAAATATGACCCAAAAAGCAAAAAAAAAAAAATGAAGGCAGTGACATTTTAGGAAAACTTCTGATCTGTGTGATTATTTTAGGAAAACAATGTGATCTGTGGTTGCTTTCAGTGGCAAAGAAACAGCGACTGCTAATGTTAAACAAAGCAGCTGTGGGTCTCAGGCTGGAGTGGTAGGACAGGGGATAGGGCGCTCGCCTTCCTCAAGGTAGACCCGGATTTCATCCCTGGCGTCCCATATGGTCCCCCCCCCCCGCCCCCTCCCTGGCACCACCAGCTAAAACTGAAAACTGAAAATAGCAGCACTTGAGGCGAAGGGTCCTGACCAGACTCTTCCCGTTGCCTCATGTTTATCAGTCACAGGTGTCCAGCAGGACCCCCACCCCCTCCGCCCCCCCCCCCCCGCATCTCCCTCTCAGCACAGGGCGGGCTCTCATAGAAGGACAAGTTAATAATAATAGTCATAATAGAGAACCGGGGCCTGGAGCGATAGTGCTACAGGCAAGGCATGAGCTTTGCGAGTTGCCAACCCGAGTTTGATCCCCAGCGTCCCCTAAGGTCCCCCAACGTCCACCAGGAGTGAATCCTGAGCACAGAGCCAGGAGAAAGTCCTGAGCACCACTGGGTGTGGCCAAAAAAAATGTTTTTCAAACTGCGCTTCGTACCATTTGTTTCTCCAGTGAGAAGATGCTCGCCCCTAAGGAAACAGTGTCCCTTCCCATGTTGTTTGAAAGGAGGGTTCCTTTCAACAGGATTGTTTCTGGTCACCCCCCTCTGCTGTTCCAGCTGACCTCTAGAGGGAGCCGTTGCCATGGCCCTTGGAGGCAGATGCAGGCTGAATACAAAAAAAAAAAAAAAATCAGCAGGCACAGGAATCATTTATTTTGCTTGTTACAATGGGTAATGGAATTTTGAAAAAAACAAACGTACATATATATATATATATATATATATATATGTGGGCCGGAGCGATCGTACAATGGGTAGGGCGTTTTGCCTTGCACACAGCTGACCCGAGTTCAATCCCCAGCATCCCATATGGTCCCCCAAGCACTTCCAGGAGTAATTCCTGAGTGCAGAGCCAGGAGCAACCCCTGAGCATCACTGGGTGTGACCCAAAAAGAAAAAAAAAAAGAAAATACTTCAGTTAAAGAAAATTTGTGAAAATTGTTCTGTCTCACAAGGGAGTCATCCGCGTCATTGTCTTGAGGGTTTACTGAGCTGCTTGTCACTCGCTGCGCCGTCTGTGCCAGTTGAGCTTCATGGGCTCCCATCTGCTTTCCCTTGTAATGTGCTGTGCTGCTACGCAGCTGTCAGGATTGTGCAGTTTGGAGGGGTCACGGCTGCGCTCCGGGGGCTGCAGGGTCTGGGACTGCCCGGTGCGTCTCAGCGGCATGGCCTGCATCTTTTCTGAGAGAGATGAGCTGCGCAGCCGGGCCGTCTGGAGGATGCGGGGGGCTATAGGGGCTGCTGGGAGTATGGAGGGGAGGCTGCCCGCCCCCCACTTGGAGAAGTCCCAGAGTTCCCAGCCCAAGAGTCGGTGTATCTGGAAATTGTTGGCCGGGTGTTTCTGCAGAGATGAGTCTTGCAGCAGTGAGGGTGGGCCCTTTGCAAAGTGGCTGTGGGGTGTGGTTGCAGCTGCCCGGGTCTCAGCAGGGCGGGGACTGGCCTGCTCCCCTCCCACGGGTGCCTGTGAATTTCAGCAGCGTGGCTTGCCTCTGTTCCGAGTAGTGTTGAGTGTACGTGGCAGCTGCCGTGGGGTGAGGAGAAATATCCTGAATCCAGTATGCCCGGTGCCGTTTGTTCTAAAACCATCTTTTCCTCATTGGCCTTGGTGCCCTGGTTAAAAGGTATCGACGAGGGTTTGTTACAGAGCCCTTTATTCTGTTCCACCCATCTGTTGTTCTCATCTAAAACATTTCATAAGTTCTTAGCGTGTTTACAGGTATAACTGTCCCCCTCACGCCACTTTTTTTTTGCTGCATTCCCCAAATTGCAGTGCGTTGCATTTTGTTTTTGTCCTCCGGTGTTTCCTGAATTTCTTTGTGATTTATTTGAAACATTAATAATCGCAGGGTTGTGGCTGGAGCAATAGTACAGCGGGTAGGGTGTTTGCCTTGCACGTGGCTGACCCAAGTTCAATCCCCAGCATCCCACATGGTCCCCCAAGCACTGCCAGGAGTAATTCTTGAGTGCAGATCCCTGAGCATCACTGGGTGTGACCCAAAAAGGAAAAAAAAAATTAATAGCAGGGTTTTATGCACGAAGCGTTCCAGCACCACACCCTCCACTGGATTGTCAGTTTCTCTCCACCATGTCCCAGTGCCGCCCCAGCCTCTGCCCTGCTCCCCCTGCAGTGATAAGCTTCCTATGATCATCCACGTCTCAGTGGCTGAGTCCTTTGGGTATTTGTTGTTTCCTTACGATGTTCAAATCTCCCACAAGAGGGAGATCGTCCTGTGTCCGCCCCTCTCCTCCTGGCTAACTTCTCTCAGCATAATACTCTCCAGACCCATCCACACAGCAGCAAATGGCTTGGTTTCATTTTTTTTCTTAACAGCTGAGTCGTATTCCACTGTGGGTATATGTAGATACCATAGTTTCTTCACCCATGCATTTGTTCTCCAACACTTGGGTTGTTTCCAGATCTTGGCTATAGTCAGTAGAGCTGCAGTGAACACAGGAGTGCAGATGTATTTTCTGAATAGAGTTTTGAGGACCTGCTGGAACCTATAGACAATCAGCTCCTAGTGTTTTGAGGCGCGTCCGTGTTGTTTTCCAAAGAGGCTGAACCAGGTGACAGTCCCAGCAGCTGTGGCCACGATTCCCATTCACCACACCCCCGTGGGTGTGTTGGTGTCTCTGGTGGGAGATGGTATGTCACAGAGAGCTGCTGCTTCTGTGTCTGTGGTCAACTTAGCAGGCCTTGAAATCTGAGACAGGGACGCCTTTATTTTTGTTCAGAGACGGGGGAAAAATGTATTTACATCTTTATTCATCCAGTAGTAATCTTAGAATTAGTATGTTAAACACCTCAGGAAAAAAAAAGATTGCTGGAACAGTGACTGGAAATCGAGCTGATTGATTGATTTTGGGAAGCCTGATGTCTGTGTTACCTGCTC